AGGCCTACATAGATAATCCCATTGTATAAGTGTGCGATTAGTGCATGTATGGTTTAAAAAATATAACTGCCGCTAGTTTTCTTGAGGAAGTAATATCAGAAATATACGTGCGCACCATTAAACATTAAGGCACGTTAGCTATGTTAGTAAAAATTGTTTCTATTGGATGATGTGATTACCAAATGTTTTAGCTTTTTATAATATAAGAAATAATATTATAAGGTCTAAGCAATACACAGAAAATGAAATGCTAATTACACACCTAGGTTCTCAACTAGGAGGAGTTTCCAACACATTCACAACCACGTCCTCCATTATAAGCACGTACAAACGTGTGTATAGCCGAAAACCAATCGATGTAAATCAATATATATTTTCTGATGATGAACACTACGAGTTAAATTGTAGCCAATGATAAAAAAGGTAGACTTATGTTAATCGATATAAACGGCATGCAACTGATTGTTTGTTCACGCGTGGCTCAATATTCTAAGAAATCAATACCAGTGCCATTGCAACAAAGGAAAGTAAATAAGTTACATATTTACTTTACTGTTCTTCCGATGATCGTAATACTTACCGTATAATGTTTTTTAATACTAAAATGCGTCAGAATGCGTTACCAGTGTTTATTTTTCAAAATCATCCCTTTAAAACGTGCCTCAACAGGCCTAAGTATACTCAGTCCTCCAAAAAAATAGTAAATCAGCGTGGATAAAAGCCGTTTTTCACTAGACGAATTATTCGCGCGAATCCCGAATTTTCGCATATACGCATCCTCAGTTTAATTTTCATCACGAGATTCTCAATAACGCATGCGCATGGGTAAACATCTTCGATTCTGGCGAATAAATTCGTCTATTAGAAAACGGCCTTAACATTAATTCTGGCGGTGCCAATTTAAAGGCTTAGTCTACACTAGAGCAATATTAGGCGTGTTGATTACGCCCGCGTCACCACGTCTAAATTTGCTATGTGTAAATTAAGCTTTAGAATTTACACGCGAGACGCGAAGACGTCAACTTGTAGAAACACGGCCTGTGCAATGACGGAAGCCTTCAAACTAGATCGGAACGCTTCGATCATACTCGATCGTACTTAAAACATTATGTAGATATAGAGCACAATAAATGAAAAGGAAGTCTAGAAAAAATGTACTATCAGTTGAGTTTTAAAAAAAATGCTATCACAATGAAACGATTAACAAAACAGAGGTTCTTGTAAATTACTTAGCTAAAACCACAGCTTTACATTTTCAACAATGATGCTAAAAATATGAAAGAAAGGTTAAACCATAACAACAGCAACATAGTTTAACAGATTATTCTCATTATTATGAGGCAGAAAGCCGTTTATTCGTCTAGTGACCTTACACGAGGAAATAAATAATATTTTGCTGTTATCATTATTTTTATGTGCTAATAAATTTATAATGTATATTATAATGTTGTTAAATGATAATGAATTTTATTTTATATTAAATTTACAGTATTTATTTTGTTTCAGTTACCTTTTACTGTTACCGATATCATCAACATGATCCTCTTCGTCATCATAGTCATAATCATAATCACCATTATCATTAATCATCTTCATCATCATTATCATCGAAATCACCATCATCACTATCATAATCGTCATCACCACCACCACCATCATCATCATCACCATCAGCATCACCATGAGCTTTATTTCCCTTGAATTTTATTCCCATACCAACAATTCAATTGGACTTACTTAATGTATGCAGAGCAAACTGGAAATGAAATTATTATAACGCATAGGCCTAATACTTGATTTCTGTGTTTGATTTATTCATCGCATTGTCATAAATTATTAGCTAATAATGTTCAACTATATTAATTACACAATGTATTACGCGTGTGGACAGAATCTAACTACTAATAATCAATCTAGCAGTATGACGTAATAGGACATGCATCCACAATGTTAACCTCCTCGTATAATTAGTATGTCTATTACACTATGGAATTCATATCTGTATTTTATTATTTTACGCCATCGTCGCTATAAATCAGGAACAAATGGCATGTGGCTTCGGTTAGAATTGTGTTCATTTGTCTTGGATGACACAATGTAGAGGCGTTTTCACTTATAAGACTGTAAGGTTTATAATATGGTGGAATGTGTACGTAATTTACGATCTAGAAAATTTATCGTTTTTGGAAAAGTAATTTTCTGATGTCGAAAATTTGTGTTGTGTGCTAATAATAATTATAATTTTTGAAAACAAAACTAGAAAATATGAATCGAGTTGAAGATTTAGTTGATTTGTTATTTTGTTTCCCGTGGCCGGGAAACTACGTAATGACACGAATGTTGATGGTGATTTATCGTCATCATCATCATCATCACATTATCATCATCCTCATCATCTTCAGCCTCAATTATAATTATTATCATTACCATCATCTTCGTCATCATCATCATAATCATCTTTATCATCATCATCATCATCATCACCATTATCATCAATTATCATCATGGTCATCATTATCATGAATAACGTAGCTTCTTGTATATTGAACACATAGTTTTCATTTCATGGTGGCTATTACGAATGTGATAATGATGATTGATGATAGCAATTGCGTGATTTACAAAAAAAAAAACAAAAAAAAAAACCTTACTATCCTGTATACAATTAAGCATAGGCATTAATTCTCAATTAATGACTATCATTACGGTGTTATTGCATGTTTGCTGAGTGCATATTAAAGACAGAAATATGAAAATGCTTAAACATTACTGAAAATCAGATAAATATTCACATATCTAATTCAAACACACCACAAACAGTATGTATAAGTTCTACTGTTTTCTCTACTCTCTCCGTTCCACGCGCCTCAGGATATTGGTTAAGTAACAATTATTGTTGTGTCTTCTTAATAAATAGTTTTTGATAATAATAATAATAATAATAATAATAATAATAATAATAATAATAAAACTAATAATAATAGCAATAATATAAATACACATAGGAAAAATAGTAATAATAATAAATTATAATAGTAGGCCTAATAATAATAATAACAAAATGAATAAGTATGAAACAAACCTGATTATGTTGTATCGAGATTCGTACTTCTCTTTTTAAAAATGAACATACAAATATTTTCACATCCATTACCGCAGCTTATTCAGATATGTCCACGAAATCACATCCTTGCTCGTATCACGCTTAATCGTGCACTGCCCGCGGCCTCTGACGCACGCTGTTTTAAGACTTGAGTAGAATATTGCTATTCTCATAGGCCTACACAATCTTGTTTTACTGCAGCTCACAAAATGGATGCTGCAACGCTAGTAAGTTTCGTGCTCTATGACGCCGGAGCTGGGAATAGAATTAAGTCCTTAGAAGATTGGTGATTGTATCCGGTTCATCATTATGAGACGCGCTATTCATGAACACAGGTTGCTTCCCGTCCTATAACACCACCTGAGCCTCGACTAGAATACATGAACAGACTCATGAATTGAACGTAATCAGTCATTTCAGACAATGCAGTCCTCCGTGAGAGACAAACATCGATTACGTACCATCAGAACAAAAACTACACTACGGTCAATTTCAATTTCTAGCTATTATAATGAACTCCTTGACTAAAATCAACCGTGCTTAAAATGACAGAATACATAATATACTCGTTGGCGCTCGGTAAAGGTACAGTTGTTTTAAATTAAAACTGTGAATAGTACGCACTTTAACAAAATATTTATATATTCATACCTTAAGGATTCAATATAGCCTGGCTTTGTATCTGTAAGGTTTATGATTTCCATTGTACAAAAATGTATAGGCCTATGTTCGTGGAGTGGTGGGGATGGGCGATAGTGGTGTTGGGGAGGGTGGAACTTTGTGTATGCGATTGGTCAGCGTTTTTACGGTTAAAAGTTTAATTAATTCTCATACAAAAAATAAATTATACCCTATGCAAATTTAATTAAAAATGCCACAATTGGTCATCAAGAGCATAATATTAATGACAGATTATTTTTGCTTAAGTATGGCAAAACCGAAACTAATGAACAAAAGCATCTTGATAGTATAGACTACGCTTAGGGCGAGTACACAAACTACGTTCACAATGCAAGCTTTTACGGGGTTAAAAGGTTATTAATGAAAAAATATACTTTGTGATAATTAATTCTCATGCATACTTAATTTACGAAACGTTTTTTTTTTTTTTTTTTTTTTACATCCACCGAGAACGTAAAATATTTGAAATACTGTACTTCATGCAGTACTTCGAGATGTATGTTTAAGTTTAACTTTACATCGTCCGCAAACCGAAGGCTCTATTCTTATCTTTCCAAAATATGCCTGATCATTATTGTTTTCTTTATTTTGAATATAGGTGTACGGTCGAAAAATATATTGTTTTTAACCTACAAATAATATATAGATTAAGAAATACTGAAATCCAGCTCAGAATATAACATCTATAGTGAACCAACAGAGAGCATAATTTTCATGGGAAAATTAGTGGATCAATAAAGAAACATAAATAATAAATCGTTATATGTTGGAATAACTTAATCTGGTTTAGAAATGTATTAATGTTATTAGTTGGACCTAATGTTATTAATGTTAGTAAATCTGTATATTTTGACATATCTGTTATTCTGGGACATATATATTCTGGGACAAAAGAAATTCTTTTGTTCCAGAATTGTCGATAAATATTGAAGCTTACAAATATGCAATGAATGTCTGAATATGCTCAATTACTGAAAGCACTTCACGCACAGTAAATGGGTTGATATAAGACACAATATATATTGACTCCCACGTATTTGATGCGACAGCCAACATAAAATAAATGTAAATTAAGACTAAAAAAACATTTACAGAAGCCACTAATGTTAAAACAATTGTAGAAAAACGAAATTAAAAAAAAATAAATAAAAATGTATAAACAAAAAGAAAACATTTTTCTGGATACAAAACGTTCTTCAGAAAAAATAACATGTAAAGTCCGGTTTCCATAAAATTGCTACGGACTATCGTCTTACAATAAATTTGACAATTTTCGGACAATTACAGTAATTGGAAGCAAATTAAATGTAATTAAATTTGAAATGCAGAAAGAAAGGTATGAATGAGCAGTAACCTAATCATCTGAAGGTCTTGCTTTCGAATAAGCCAATTCGTAGTTTCAACTGCGCATGCCCGCATTTAAGGTCAGTCGACATAAACCTACGTTGTGTGTTTATGTTTTGTTTATGCAGATTGACATTGATAAGGGCATGTGCAGCTCAAACAACGAATTGGCTAATGGGAAAATGTGAGTGATCATTCGTACAAGCAAAGCGCTAAATATAGATTCTTGAAGGAACATTATTATACAATCGAATTTTTGACATTATTATTATAAAAAAAAAAAAAAAATATTATTATAAAAAAAAAAAAACAAAAAAAAAAAAACAGAATAAATGAAATCCACGTTAGTCTGGTTAAAACCAATAAAGCCATTTCAGATCAATAATTAGATAACCTGTGTAAATAGAGCCGGGTAGCTAGATCATAATAATTGACTACTTGGTCAACATTTCTAGTTTCCATTTAATTAGAAAATATCATCTCAATCATATCTGATCTTATAACCTGGGAAGGTTGTCAGGAGGTCATATAAGAACACCAAGTTAGGCCACAAAGCATGTTACTGTTATTATACCAGGAAGTATATTATTATTAGGCCCATTGCGCTAAACTAATCTCTCAATATTTTATATATTGTTAAAATAGGCCTAGCAATGAATGTGGACATTGCCACGTTAAGGGCTAGGCGCATTGCATTAGTTTTGTTTATAAATGACGATGTAGTTGAAAGTTTCTTGAATTACCCATTAGTATCGAGAAAATCCTGTTAACATATCTCACGTTGATTTTGTCACGTCACTAAAACACACTTCAAATAGCAAACAAGCAAAATACTTCAATAGCTATTTTAGCGGTAAAACCAGGGAACAAATTTCACTGTTCCCTGGTAAAACAAGGTTTCCATAACATCGCTACACGCAATTATTGTCGGTGACGTTGATTGACGGGAAAGCTCTGCAGTAGATGTGGAAAAAGTAGCGACAACGTAGCTACTTTATGGAAACCCGGCTTCATCCGCAGTTCCTAGCCCACGAGCATTGATGATTAAATACCCTATACAGTACCGGTATATACTTTATACAGCACATGGATCTTTACGTCAAGATCTGCCTCTTATTGTTATTGTTGCTAAGGTTCCACAAAAAACAATAGCGTAAATGTACGTAAACAACTGCGCTTGTTGGACAACAGGTGTGCTTGAACACTCTTAGAAAAAAATGGGTGCTTTAGGGGTTCTTCAGTTGTCCTGTATATGGAACCCCTGTAGCAACTTTATATGTTCGAAAAAGAAGAAAAGTAGGTTCTTCGGACCATTTTATGTTCGTTAAAGTGTTTTTAGAACTATTTACAGAACCCTTCGAAACATAGAACGCTTTTACACTCAGGGTTCCATATACAGGACAGCCTGTGAAGAACCATTATTTCTAAGAGTGAAGGACACTCACGTATACCTGGTCCTGTTCTGATTTTTTGCGTGGTGTTAAGTTTGAATAACACTATGGAAAAGTCCATTATATCAAAAAGAATATGAGAGAATATTTAGAGAGAGAAAGAATGAAACCCCTTAATTCACATTACAATAGGGTCCACATGTGTACAGTTACACAAACCAAAAGGCACGCAACACAACCCATCAATCCACCCACCCACTCTCCACATTATAAGTCACAAACACAAACACCCCGACATGCAACCTGCAACATTCAGCTCAAACTCAAAAACACTAGTACAATTATATATATATATATATGTATATATATATATATATAATAATGATATATATATATATGTATATGTATATATACACTTGTATATCTGTGTATACATGTACTCAGAAGTATAATTGCTTTCGATAATACCTCAAAATGGTCTTCAACTAAATTTAAGCTGTGAGTCATCACAACGTCAATAGCTTCATGTGACGTCACTCATCCGCGTAAAATCCGCAGTTAATACGACTTCTGAAGTTAAACGCTTTAATTGGACAAGACGCCTTTAATTCAATCACACGTTTTTCAGACTCCTGTATCTTGGCTGATCAACGTTTTATTATTATTATCATAATTGTTATCAATATTATCAATTATTAGCATTATTACTGTTACTATTATCATTATTAACATTAATATATTATTATTATTATTATTATTATTATTATTATTTTATCTTAATTGTAATTACAATTGTTAAGCTATTGTTAAACATTATATTTTTCAATGATTAGTCATATTTTTTTTTTGGGGGGGGGGGGGGATTTGCATAATCTAGCATTGGGAATAAAAATTGATTTCTATCGTTAGAAATAATCAAAACAAAACAATTTGTATCTATTATTGCGTGTTATTCATTGATTAAGTTTAAAAACTTATATATATATCGTATTCATATTTATTTCCATCTAGCGTTCCAATAGTTAACGTTAACTGAAGAAATGCAATGAATTATAGTTTAATTTGTTGTGCCTATTTTTGTACGCAACTGAAACTACTGTACAAGAACGTAAAAATGTCGCACGAGGCAAAAATTCATTTTTTGTCTTTAAAATTACAGTGGTAAATCTCAAATAATTCCCCAAGGCCCTTACAGTTATTGTCTGACGCTTAAAGCGTCAGGTTTTGTCGGCCCATCAGACGCTAGCAAAGTACAACGCGGTAAGGCGTAAATAGAATACTCCAGAGTGCTGCTTGATATCTGTAGACTTATTCAAATCCCATAGGTGTTGTCATGTTCAGTAATTTACTGCTGGTAATCGAATACCAACTTGGTAATTACAACCCCGAAAGTTAATGTTATGCTTAAAATAGTTATCCAATAATTTTCCTTCATTAGTCGACCAGACAATTTTCAAATTATAATTTAGATTAAGGAGAAATAGGTGTAATTAAAATTGCTAATGTGTTAATTGTTTTGAGTCACTTGTTTATAGTTTATATGTTTTGACGTCATCTTAACAGTTTCGAGTTAACGCTGTAATAAATCTGAAATAACGAGCTTGCTTGACATAATTCATTCATTTCACTCATTTCTTCAATTTTCTTTCATTCCTTCATTTTATGCATTCATCAATTTATCTATTCATTCATTCCATAAATCTTTCTACTATTCTTTTCCTTTTCTCATTCATTAATGTATTCATTTATATCATTCGTTTAATGAAAAAAATCATGAGAAAAAATATTATCGTTTTTTAATAAATTATTAATAATACAATTCTTATAACCTTTGTTACATTTAAGTTACTGACATTCAGTTCAAAATTTGTATAATACAGAAACGATAATAGGCCTATATAAAACGATAAAAATGAGTCCGAAAAAAATATTTTGAAATTCAAACGATTATATACTTGTGACATACTCTTTAATCGGTTGGCAATATGATTGTCGTAGTGAAATGTTTGTAAACACTAGACAAGTAAAACTAGAATTGTGTATATAAAAGTGGCTATCGTTTGTTTTAAATACATTCTGAGAATTAACTATTGATTAACCAGTATAATAATAAATTCCATTGTACTCATGAGAATCTACAGTGCCTTTTTATCTGCCAGTTTCGCTGGTCCATGGAAGGAGTATGGTAGCCCTGTATTCATTTTTTTAAAGTGGCTATGAAGTCAATATCTTTGGGGTAAAAAGCTAGATACACAACTTTATTGGTTTTGTTGGGGAAAAAAGGCAAACGTTATAAAAAAAATATGTTAAACCAATATTTTGTGTTTACGCCCTCTATTGTACAGTCCGTATGCAAATGAGTAAATGTGCTCAGTGTTAGCCAAGTCACGAGTAATTAATTGGACTGTTTGTATTGTACATTTCCGGAATATATATACAATCAAGATATTTGTATTGGTCTGCTTCTGAGGTCTGCTTTTTAACAAAAATCGTTTTCCCGAATTTAAAATATTCGACTTTTTTAATGTCAGAATCAGAATCTGATTCAGAATGTTTATTTTCCACCTCATTCACAATACGTACTACAATATACATACTGGAATGTTACATTGTAGTACAAGTCACATGTTTTCATGAATGATCTACCTAGTTTTCATGTTTTTCAAAGGGTAAGTCAATCTATAGTTTTATGCTGAGATTGCTATCGAGTGAAAATCTTATTATATCTAATCTTATCAAATGTATGGTTCAACAATTATTATCCTAGTCCGGGCTTCTCCCCAGGTGGAGATCTGCTCTTTAATAGGCACAGCATCGCCGAGATATGAGTGGGGGAGGCTAAATAGGTTAGTAGTGATTTTGCACAACAAATCTATAACTCCCTGATACAGAAATCAAATTACATACAATCATGTAATAATTAAGAATACACATTTTAAAAGTTAAAACTTTCATTCTCTTGCAAAATTACCAGTACATTAAGTCCTAAATGACAGAATATTTATTGTTTTCTGTCCTTGCGCTAAGTTTATGAAAATTATAAATAATGCTACTAATTTAAAAATATCAAATTACAGTCCATATGGGTTTTTTTATCCGTTAGCAACTGTATCTGAAATTAGAAAATTGGGAGTAAAATTGATCATTATTCCGTTCTTCTGACGTTATTAAGCTAAACATGAGAACTTATTAAGTTGGTCTACTTTTAGCAAATTTGGGGCACCTTTTTGGCGTTCACTTCCATATTCATAATAGCCTACGCCCATAGGCGTAGATCCGAGGGGGGGGGGGATATACCCACCAATATTTGACAAGGGGTGGGAGATATGGTCCATATTATCATCCCTCCCCAAATATTTTGACTATGTATGGGATAAAATGGAGCTTTACACACTTCAAAAGACTGTCACAGAAATAATTTGCAATGTCTTATGCGCATAAAATAAAATAAAATTAGCATAATGTATTAATGTTGATAACAAAATTATTTTATCCGGTACCAATCTAAGCTCTTCTTTCCTTAGATGTTAGATGTGCTTGCAAAGCAAGCCACATTTTTTACACTGAAGGGTGTGTACATCAGTAATTTTATGTCAATTCCAAGAATTTTCAATCATTCCCCCAATGAAAAATACTTTTCTACGCCACCGCTTACGCCATAATGTATAAGTTGTCAATGCGAGGTTCCATTAAATGAATGAATGTAACTGAAGTGTACTTAATCTTAATTCGAATAAAACAATGTAGCCCTGGGTATAATCTAATATTGAGAATACAATAAAATCATATATCATTGCTCGATGTATTGGTACTGCTCTTAGCGATGATCCTCTATATTCCCAGATGAAGTTGGATAAAGTAAACAGGGCATTATTTCTCAATAACTCAACTGAGTTCCTGTTGCAGCGGCTGGAAAATGTAGAAATAGCATTCTAAAATCTGCATCTTAATTCCGATGAGCACCACATTTTGAGATAACCGAGATACATGCAACATTGTTAATGTGCAAAAATTGGAATTAAACCTGTTCAGTATTTTTTGAGTTATGAGCCCGGAAGAAGTATGCCCTACACACACACAGACGTGCGCTATTGCAATACACTTCACCTCTCCTTGAATCTATCAATGTTTTTTAAATGGTTTTTTAAACAAACATCAAATAAACAAAGATGAAAACAAATTAAATTGTGTCTTTCTTTACTCATATTTCTTAAAACCTGTCAAAGATCGGTAGCTTCATCTGGTGATAGGGTACGTACTTTAACACCAGTCTTAATAGTAACTCATAACAGTATCACACATTGTTAATAAATTAATTCATCTCAATAACTGATCAAATCATCATTACCCTAAGTTGACTGCTAAATTGAATGTGTGATGGTGCATGCGTTAAACGTATCGATCCAATAGGGCCATGTCGTTAAGTTTCAAACTAAAAAAAAATCAAGTGATTGCTAATTGACCAATTTATATATACTAAAAATAATAATAATTATTTTTATTATTATTATTTTCGTTTCACTTTATCAACTAGACTTATTTTTAACAAGCCCAACCCTGGTAATAGCGTGTGCTTTTCCCTCAATTAAGTTGCAATTGTTCAAAATGTTCATAATATGCAAAGACTATACCCGTCGTCCTACCAAAATTTTTTTCTGATGATACCACGCTTCAAAATAAATGATGTTTTCTAATTATTTCTAGATGGTGCAAATCATAACTTGGTGTGATCGACTCTATTATGTTAAATAACAATGTATATTTTCCGTTGTTCCTTTGATCTTCATTGTTGATATTATGACATATAAGTGTGTACAATTATCAAAAAATGTACATGCTGTCAGAAATTCTCACGTGGAAGTTTTACCTACAGGACAAAATTATATTACTGTTTGAGTGAGGTGGATGCTATTGATGATGAAGATGACAGTGTTTAAAACTTTGTCCACATTATCAAATGGGCACATCACATAGATTTGTAATATAAAAAGTAATAGTGTAGACAGAGCTTAATTATGCTAATGACCTACACATGTTGCCACTATCGGTACTTTAATGCAAGGTGATTAGACAAAACCATAATGCTTAATAATTACCCTAAAGCTTGGCTTCAGTACAATCGTTAAACGCTATCGCCGAAAGTTGTCAGTGAAACTCGTTTTCCATAAAATCGCTCACCCTATCGGCGACAGAACAGATGTCAGGAAGGTTGAACCTGGTTCAACTTTGCAGACTGCTTTTCAATCTGGGTGCATTGCTAGCTTCCCTGATGCAATCGGGATGGAAGGCATCCCGATTCGTCTGCAACGCAATTGGCAAAATTGAACTAGATTCAACCTTCCCGACAACAGTCGGCGACTGTCGCCGATAAGTGAGCGATTCTATGGAAACCGAGACTCATGCTGATCAGTCAATCGAATCGGGGAGCCTTCCCGATTGACTGCTACGCAATGCAACTATACTACGATTGCACTAAAACACTGTAGCGACAGTGAAACGATTTTAAACAAACCAGGCTTAACATAGGCCTACACTTACTGTTGGCTGTAGGGATGGCGCCCAGAAATCTGAATAAAAAATGAAACACATAAAATTTTGCTTAGAATACGAAAGGTGAGAGCATTACTCAGCCTTGTAATTTAGACCGCTACAATTTGGTTCAGAATCTTGAATAATTTTTAGAGAAGATGTCATAGTTTTGTGCTGAAACTAAATATTAGTTTACGGTTCTTGTGTGTATGTCTTCTCTATAAACACCCGTGTGTAGGTCTATGTATAAACGTATAAAACGAATAATTTAATTACTGTATAATCACTCACTGCGCAGAAACAAGTGGATTGCACATGTGTATAAACAGGTAATCATTGGTTTAAAGAATAATTGTTTATAGCCCTGTCCAGACTATCAAATAATGTTTGACAAAAAAGTGTTGTGTGCCCATATACAGTCATGATGTGCCTATATATGGTTATGGTGTGATGTCATCATGACTATAATTAGGCATACCACATGTTTTTGTTAAATAAAACTTGATTGTGTGAACAGGGCTTAAGCCTAAATAATTACATGTCATTTAATATCTCATTAATTTAAATTAAATCTACATCAATATTTAATTCTAATTAATAAAAATATGTTGTAGAGCTAAAATGACATAAGATTTAAATTAATCAAGGAGCACATTAAAATCTGCTGTAAATGGACGTAAAATCTATATAATGACAATTAGTATGTCTAGCTTATGAAAAATAAGAAAATTTAACATCCTTTTAAATATTCTGTAATATATTTGAATGGAATAGCGGCATATTGCACGAATACTTTGATCTCAAGTTCATTATCAAGGTAGATATCACTAATATACAACAAATCCTCAAAAAACTCACACCTTCTATAAATAATATAATCAACATTTACAAATATAATATGTACAATATACATATATATATATGTATATATATATATATATATATATATATATATATATATATATATATATATATATATATATATATATAT